ACGGGGGTCGGGCACCCCTCAGGTGCAGGGCTCCAGTCTCCCTTTAAGGAAGAGCAGGGGCTGCAGCTGGCTCCCCGCATCCTTCTGCAGCAGCTCTCCGGGTCCCGCTAGTGCTTGAGAACGTCTCTGTACCTGGGTCACCGCCAGCCAGTGATTGAATGTGGTAAGGGCACTAGCGCCTGGTCATTTCTGTCTTTGGGGTATTTCTCTAAAGAATAATATTTGCTCCGGAGCTCCCAGGTGGATTGGCTAACATTTTGTCAAGTCTGCTTTACAGACTGAGGCTTACCTGCTTAATGTTCCTTCTACCGCCTCCTACTCCCCACTTCCTTTCACAGATGTCAGATCTGCTTCACAAGATGAAGACTTTTCCTGCCCCTTTCTGCTTCCTCCTCATTTTCTCCTTTACAGGCATTGCTTTTCAGTAAACTTCTTGTACTCTCAACTTTGTCTTAGCACTTACTTCTGACATAAGGGTACTCTTAATAATTAGGTATAGGGGAACAGATTTAAAGCATAGCCTATGATTCTAATTGTGTTTGACAAGCTTCTTTTGTCCCCCTACTGTATCCAAGAGCACTGCTTTGTTTCCTGTTGACGTTGTCCATCTACAATAGGCACACGTGGAGCCTTTATTAATCTCAGGCAGACCTCAGCATCCTAAACCCTAATTGAATAGGCTGAATATTCATACTGAAATGGAAATGGCCTACCATTGATATCCTTTTTCTCCTTTCCTCTTTTGAAGAATCTTCCTCTTTTTTTCCTTCACTATTTGTGGGTGTGTCCAAGGACCTCTTCTCTCCTTGTTTTTCCTCTCTGCTTCCCTTCCCTCTCCTGTTCTGCCTTCCCTTCAAAGACCCTCACCAAAATTGTGTCTACATTCATACTTAACAATTACATTGTAGCAAAATCTCTCCAATTTTATATCTGTTTAATTAATCGATTTATGGGACATTTTCATTTTGGATATCCCACAGACTTCACAAACACAATAATTCCTTTAAAACTAAACCTAACATATTTCTTTATAAAAGATGGCCACTCAGTCATCCAGAGAGGTGCTTTGGAAATCAAACCAGACTGCTCGCTCTCCCTCACCCTCCATATTAATTTGGTCACAATGTCATCTTGATTCTTCCAAGTACATCCTTTTTCTCAAATGTATTACCTCTTTTCTACCTTTCGAGAAGATACTAAGTCAGTCAATAATGGAGATAAAACATGAGTTTTCACAAGAGTATAATACATTAGAAATAAATAGACATAAGCAAAAAAAAGGAATATCAAAATGTACAAGGACGAGAGAAAAAAATCAAGTCAGCTAAACAGCAGCTGGCACCTATAAGATATAACTAGAGGTAAACAGATCAACCTGTCTTATTTTGACCAAGGAGCTTTATATGATTGGCATACACACCTGGTAGAAAACTGATCGGATTATTATCAGCTAGAAAGGGCAGCAAAGTACCAAAAAAAGGTTTCTTAGGATACCATAAGTCCCCAGAATGATAGGATAATCAAAGGAATCAGACATTCCAGCTTCACATGGCCTTGGGTATATCTGGACTGAGAGATTGCTTCAGTTAATAAACTTTGCAGGAACTTGGCTATAGGAGTGAGAGGGATCAGAATGAGAGGCTCTTGATTTTGGGTAAATATATAAATATAGATAGCATGCTTGGGAAGTGGTAGGATTCTGTTCCTGCCTTGCCTTTCTACTGGAGACATTGCTTCTTCTGTCAATGTAAACAAAGCAACAGAAACATCTACAACATGCCTTGATCTGGTGACATTGTTGCCAACAACAGATCTAGTCTGGGAAATGTAGAACTCCTCTTTTTGTAATATTGACGATACACAAAATTATGGCTGGCATCTCATAAAAAATGTTTGGGTCTTACTAGTCATCTTTATGCAATGTACATGTTGTTATTCTGACTGTACAAAGCTGTGTGGTTTTGCTCATACCAAAGGCAGAGAGGCATGGTTTCACTTTTAAACTGATGATTGAGTCTTTCTAGAAAACTGCAACAATAATGTATTTGTTCTAGATTAATGGTCTTGGGGGAGGGGTGGTACTTATGTGGGAAAACTTTTATTTTCTGTTTTATTACCTAGTATTTATTAACTGGATTGGGATCCAATGGTGCCTCTGTTGCTTTTTCTGTCCCCAGCTGCTTCTAAGGAGGAGTAAGAAAATCCTCATCATTATTTTGCTTGGGACTATGTCAAAGATTAATGCTTAGTCCTTTTGCTCTCAGCCTTGACTCCTTCATTCGATCCAACATAACGCTGTCTGAGTCATCATTTCAGAACACGGATGTGACCACATACTTTCCCAACATAAAGGTCTTTTATGATTTCCCACTGCTTAAAGATAAACTTCAAAACTTTGACCCAACATGCCACCTTTCTGAGCTTATTTCTATTACACATACACACGTATGCTTTAATTGCAGTTGGCCTACTTGACGTTCCTGGAATGAGCCATGACCTTGTCCTTTTGTGTCTGTTCCTCCCTTTGCCTGGAATATTGATCATGTACCTCCTTTCACATCACCTGTCAGCACTTCCTTTTAGAAGTCACCATTGACCCCACAATTTGGATCATGTACACTAATCACAGATTTTATCACTATGTGCTGTAATTGTTATTGTTTTTTTTATCTCTACTAGTGGGCTTTGCACGTCTTCGTGGTAAAGTCTGTTTTTAGTTCTCTATGCCCAACTTACCTCGGTGCATACCATAAAATAGGTTCTCAAGGGATAAAAGGATAGATGGACTAATAGATGAACAAAAAGAGGAATAGCTGAGTGGCTAGCTAGCTCGATATGCAATGAAATAGACAGCATATTGAAATACCTTCACCAGCCATCCACCTCCCCATTCAACTGCACTTAATGGAATGCTGCTACAATAGTCTTAAAATATAGCTATGATCATGGCAACACTTTAAAATATGTGTAAAAAACATTCATTGGCTCTTCACCTTATAAATTAAATTGTTACCTTTTGATCTTCCTTGATCTGACCTATTTAAACTTTCTGAGCTCTTCCTAAGTAAATACTTCATGGTCCAGCCATGCTATAGTCGATGGTATTCCAAAAACATATTCATTCACTCATTTACTCACTTATTTCATGACTTTCCTTTCTAATATCTGTTTCAAAGTGTTAATGTAGTATTTTTATGTATCATCTAGTGTAGCAAATGACTTGCTTTATACATTTGATGATAATCTTAACCTCCATTTTTATTTTTCTAAAATTTTAAAGTGGTTAGTTTAGAAAAGAGATGAAATAATTTCACAGGAAAGCTACTATAAGGGAGTACAGTTCTTAAGAAATATAAAATAGTGGGCGGTAGGGGTTCAGGTGCATTTTTTAACTTATGAAAAGCTTCACTGTCTTAGTCCAGGAGGTGGTACTTTCACGTATAAAGCTCCTTTAAAAACAGTAGGGGCCCTGAAACCGCTTCACACCCCCTCTGTGCAACCCAGCCACACCCGTGACTGTCTGAAGACTGCTTTTCACTTGAGACTTAATGCCGTTTTGGGTCTGCCAGACTGCCCAGGGGTAATCCAGCCTTCAGATTTCTAGAAACCCTTTGAGTTACCTGAGAAAGTCTTTCAGGTTGCACCGGAATAATTTGAATTATTCACAAATAATTCACCTGAATTATTCACAAAGGGTCTTAGAGCCAGATCCTTGATTTGATATTTATGGTGAGGCCATGTCTTTCTGACCAAGCTCAGGATTTGATCTTTCACTAGTTTGAGAGCTTGGAGTTAAGAAATAATTATTTTCTGCCGTAAGTCCTGGTCCTTTCATATTCTTTTTCTTACCGGCAAACTGATCAGTTTTTTTTTTAATTTAGTACAATTTCTTTCTTATAGTACCTTATCAAATGAAGCTATTAAGAGCCAGCTGACACTTTCCCATTCTGTTTGGAAATCTCATTACTTGTATACAAAAGTTCATTGGGTACATTTTCTTTCACTGAAGTTTCCTCGGGTGACAGCTTTACCAACTGCTTCTCTCTACATAGCACAGAGAGCCATTTTTCCAGCTTGCTGTAACTATTCTCTCAGTGCCTTTCCACACTTTATTTGCTACCCCGTACTAAAGCCAAGGCCAAATATTTTAGGTCTTTGTTATGGTACAACTTATTTCTTGGTAGAAGTTTCTCTCTTATCCATACCTGTTTGTCTTACAACAAAGCTGTCCTGAATTTATTCTCATGACTTGGGAGGGTTCCAAGAGAGGAAGTGGAAATATTCAAGTGCTTTTTCTTTTCTTTTTTAATTCAGTCATTTCTTTATTGTCTGTTTTATTACCATTTAGCCCCCTCCTACCCACTACCCCCCAATCACTGCTCTGTTGTCCATGTCCATGGGGCCTTTTTCCTTTTCCCTCCATCCCTCCACCCACGACCCACCACCCCTCTCAGCTGTCATCCTGCTCTCCGTCTATGAGTCTGTTCCCACTTTGCGTGTTAGTTCAGTTCGTTCATTAGATTCCACATATGAGTGAAATCATAGGCTTCAAGTCTGCTTCCATCCTACTGGCCACAGCAAGTCACAGGAAGGAGCCCAGATTCTCGGGATCCAGAAGTAAATTCACTTAGTGAGAGGACCTGGAAAGTTACGAAGTGTGTGGATATTGAAAGGCTATTTACTGGAACAAATAATAAACCAGTCTACCATGGATATTTCAGTTAATCTTTAACAAATTAGATGGTATTTTATTTACACTTAATGAAGGAACCCCAAACTGAGTTGATAGTTTTTAATATATAATTCAGTATGAATTGTTTAAACTATAAAATTTAATTCTTACCATGTTACATACCATCTGTCTTAAAAGCACATACTTTATCTGTAAATCTAAATTGTATGGTGACTTTACCAAAGAAAGATGAGTGGGGTATGTGAAATAGTATGTTTTAATGTTAAGACAAAAAAAAAAAGTCAAAATCTGTTTCTTTATTTCTCAGGTGATATTTGTGATCCCAATCCATGTGAAAATGGAGGTATCTGTTTGCCAGGGTTGTCTGAAGACTCCTTTACCTGCGAGTGCCCGGACGGCTTCACAGATCCCAACTGTTCTAGTGTTGTGGAGGTTGGTAAGTGCAAGATTTAAGCATTTCAGTAGTTATTCTCTTAAAATAAGTGACAAATTTGGCTGTGGTGCATTGTGGGTATTCTGTATAAGAATGCTGTGTGTTGATAATTAATTTACTCCTCTATAGGACTCTCAATTTTATCATTTCCATTTTATATTTACATTTTTATTTGTGGTGTTCTCAATAAATAATTTTAAAATGTTTCAGTGAGGAGCACTTAGAAGTACTATTAGAATATAATAAATTTCTTATCTTTCTAATATTAATATATTTATTTAAATTTTTATTTGCAGTCAAAAATAATCCCTGAGTCAATTTATTCAAATTAACATAATCGCTCTGAAAAAACCAGAACTTACTTTAGCAACAGAAAATATTCATCAGTATTCTATAGCTATTCTAATTTTTACTTTTCTAAGACTGTAAATATATGGAGGAAGACAATACAGCATTCCAGGTATATTGTTCCTCAAAGTTTTCTCAAAAAAACTTTGCAGATACTAAACAGTCATTGATCACATTTCAAAATGTTTCTTTTTCATTTGTGAAGTACATCATCGGCGTGCATAATTATGATTCAGAGTAACTTCCATAAATTACAAACAGTTCTGCATTAAGGAAATAGCTGTATTTTATATAATTGAGTACTATGTAAACTTATATAGAGATTTTTCTTGGTGATTAAAAATACCATGATTAAGTTTGAACAGATTTCTACATTTTTTTCAAAATAGTACCAAGAAGGATAAGAAGTAGATTATATTTGCTCAACACAGGAAAACCAAACATGTTTTTGATTAGAACTTCTGTCAACTAGCATAAACTTTGGGAAACTTGGAGGTTTCTATGACTTTTGAAATATAGTTTTTGAGGAAGAAAAGTAATATTGTCTATAGAAAGCACCTTTATGAGTAGTAGGACCCAATCATTATTGGTTCAATGATGAAAGAATAACTAAATAAAACCATTCACTGCCAATTTTGGCCACAGGTTATTAGATCTTAGTGTGATTTATTTTTACATGTCTTTTTTGTATTTTTTTACTATTTCATTAGTATGAATGTATTATATCTAAAAAAAGTTAATTATATGATTGCTGAAAAGTACCTTGTTCATTAATTAATTTCGAAGATAATTCTTCTTCAAGGCTTTTATTAACTTGTTGCTATTTTAGAGAGTTTGATACGGTGCCATAGAAATAAAACTGTTGTAACTACTTTGACCCAGTCTCCAAATATGTACAGCGAGTTTCAGAGTTTAACATGAGAATCATATCCTTAGGAAAGTCTATAGCTCTGAAGAAAATTATAGACATAAATATTTTAAACGGGAATGTATGGATAGAATAAAAATTTAATGTTATATTTTAAGTCCATTTTAACCCCAAATATGGCAGTGCCTTAGATTTGTAGTATACAACATTTTTTGCTACTTTTTAAGAACCAAATATATTAAATTAAAGAGGAAAATGTATTTAAATAATTAAACAGTATCTTGTACACTTTTTAAATAAATACTTTAATTCCTTTAGCCATATTTTCACACAGTAATTCCTTATTCATCATTTTATCAGAAGAATGATACTGTTAGTAGCAGCAGGTGGTGAGAGACAAATACTATATGATCTCACCTGTAAGTGGAACTTGATCAACAAAACAAACATATGAGTAAAATAGAACCAGAGACTTGGAAATAAAGAGCAAACTGACAGTGACCAGAGGGGAGAGGGGAGCAGGGAGAGGGATAATGGGGGAAAGAAGGGGAAGGGACGAGCAAAGGAACAGGAATACAGGGCTCATGGGCACAGACAGGGCGGGGATTGACTGTAGGAGTCGGAGGAGAACAGAGTCGGGGTGTGCGGGGGTGGGGGGAAGGCGGGACAAGTGTTACCGAACAACAAGAAATGAAAAGGAAAAAGAAAAACTAAACACGCTATAATATTTCATGTAGTTCAGTGAGATTTAGGGGATCAAATGCTTACAAGAATTAAGTTTAATCAGATTATTATTATATACATTCCTCTGATATTCAGAAATGAGTTAGTTATACTATATTATCTTAACCTATACATTTTTGTGATGTGTTTCAATCAACTTCATTTTCATATGAGGCATGTATAGGAGTATCTCTTCTTAGAAGAAATATATCTAGTTTTTATTTACTTTACCATTTTGCATAGTATATTTGTTATGCCAAGTCTGATTTAATATATTGTTTTTTAAAAGATTAAAATGATAGAAAACGAGTGCCCTAGAAGTTTAAAATGTCAATGGGTTCTTAAATACCACTCTGCTATACTGTGAGATACTATTCTTAAAGGATGAGAGAATAGGGAAAAATCAAATACAATTTAGATGGACATGTTACCTTATTTGCCTTTCTACTATCTCTTTCTCAGCTACATATTTTCTTACATATAATAAGGGAATACTGAGTATTTATTGAGTAAAAACATTTAGTAACAATGCCTTTCAAATCTAACCAAACTTAAGGGCTTTTTTATATATTTTAAAAACTAATTATTGGAACAAATTAGATGAAACATTGAAGGCCATTTTTCATTTTCAGTTTAAAAAATCTACTAATTTGCAGGAACTTTTTTGTTGTTGTTTTGTTTCCTTGCTGTTAGGTACCACTAGAATTTTATTTTTTTTAAAAAAGCTACAGGTATTTTAATGTAAGATATTAAAAGACAAAAGTTTGGGCTGTCACTACGCTATATTTTTACTTTCACATTAATCCCCCAAAGATGTAGATGTATCTAAGGTATCTTCTAAGCTTTCAAACCATATGGATTTTTTGATTATATGACATTCTAAATCTCCTTATGTTTTATTTCCAAAGAAAAAGAAATAACCTTGTCTACATTTGCTTCGAGAAGTTGTGTTTTGATCCTAACTAAAAATTATTTTCACTTTGTTTATTCTGTAATCAAACATACTTGCTCTATTGCTGCATATCTGGAAAGGAGAATTTCAAATACATGCTATTCTTAGAGGTAAAATTGCTTTTGATTTTACCTCAAACCTCATTACTTTGTAGTAGCCTTGTTTTAAGTTCTTGATACTACTTGTTTCAAAAGCGATTCCCATCCAATTTTGTACTTTCTTTCCTCTTGAAGCATCTAGTGTCAGAGAAGTACAAAACACTTTACCACATCTGCAGCCAATTCTCACAGTACCTACATTCCTGTATCGTGTGCGAAAGCTTGAAGATACTGACTTGCTCAGATTTGTGCACTTCATTTGCTACACAACATTGTTTTACTTTGACTTGATTCTTAATCTGTCTGTACACTCCAATATCCACCTTTTACCTCTACCTGTCTCTCTCACTTGTTCTTTTCCGTTCTCTCTCCGTCTCTTTGTCCATCACACACATCCCCCTTATACCGACCTATCTCAAATCTCAATGGTCTCAGCCTCCTAGTGTTAAGACTCACTTCTGATATCCATAAAAGGCAATAGGAAAATATCTGTCTGACCAAAGGAAAGAAAAAAAAAGAAAAACAACACTTCACATCTTCAGAGTTGAAGACATTGGCCAGATTAACGACTGTTTGCACAGATGTGCACATGTACTAACTCCTTCTCCAGGGGACTTTTCTCCAGACAACCGTGCAGTTAAGCCCCAAATTACTTCCCAATTACCTCCTCACATTCTTGGGTAATACCGTGTAATTTGGAGCCAAATGTTGACACATTTATTTCATATAGAAATTTCTATTACTAGTGAATATTCTCGAGTACACATATAAGAACTTTGGGAATTACAAAGGTTTTCAAGTTTCATGGCATAATTTTCCATGGGCTATCAAAGTAATTCAGTCAACTAATAATAAATATAAATTTTTACAACACAAATGTATTGTATCTTAATGCAACCATAGAGAACAAAATAAGTGATTCACTTTTTTAAAAAATAAAATCTGAGTTTTCATTGATTGTTAAATATTGATTGAGTACATACTAAGGAATAGCTACCTTAGTGGTAGAATGTAATGGCAAGCAAATGTACAGAAATTGTCTAGCTAGGACATCATATAAATGAATAAATAGGTAAGTGTGATGGGTGTTGTGATGGGAGAAGTATATGGAGCCAAAGGAATGCAAAGCAGGTGTCCTGTCTTAAGCTAGGTGTCAGAAAATTCATGCCTACCTGAAAAATTATGTCTTAATGTAATTTTTAAGGATAATTTTAATCTAGCAGACAGAAAGGTAAAGGTATTTAAGACAGAGGAAATAATTGTTTAAAAAGCCAGAGATCAGAAAAGTTGTAATTCCATGAGTTGAAATAAATTCATTGTGACTAGAGCTTAAAAGAGAGAGACATGGTGGCCAGCAATAAGTCTGGAGATGGTGGTGATGGCAGAATATGCAGTCTTGCAATCGTTCTTCAGGCATTTGGACTTATGCTGAGAGCAACTGAGATGATTTGCACTTTTAGAAGGTCTCTGTCTTTGTAATATGAAAGAAAAAAAAAAGAAGATATTAAGGCAGGCAGACAATTAGAAAGCTACTACAGAAGACCAGGTCAGACATGATGATCTTGGCCTGAATCAGTGTAGCAACAAAGGTAATGGTGTAGAGATAGTCAGTGATTGTTTAAAGTATTACCAATTATAGATAATTGGTAATTGATAGGATAATTGAGTAGAAGGAGTTTAGAGAAAGTAAAGCATGAAGAGGAAACATCACCAGTGTCTGACCTGAGCAACTTGGTGTCATTAACTGAAAGTGCACATTGAAGATACACTGGATTATGAGGCAGAAAATTAGCGAATTATTTCACATATTGAATTTGAGGAATTTGATAGGTATTAGTTAAGAAGTTAAACATAGATTTGTGAGTTATAATTATACAGATAGTTATTAATGCTTAGGAAATATATGGATCTCCCCTGAAGAACAAAAACTTTTGAAAAGATGAGATGATCTAGAAATGGAAACTGATAAGAGAGATTCATCAACAATTAAGGAGTAGGTAGAGAAAGTTAAATC